TACAATATGATATAGCACAATATAATATAATATACTAAATCATTCTGTAATATGTTATAGTCTACTGTTATATGTTATGGTATGCCACCACAATATATTGTGATATACCATTATCTACTATATTATTTTACTATGCGGTATTATGCTGTATTATGCGGTAGTCTACTATATATAGACTTTAATATACTCTAACATGCTTGAATGTATTGCAACATACAGTAATATACTATGATATACTCTAACATTGGTAGAGCGGCGAGATGCTGACATTCCACTTGAAGTCATTCTGCACACTTTCGGATGCTCCGGGGCTGGGCTGTGCGTCTCAGGCTCATTCTCTGCTGTTTCAGTCAGCATCTTTGTTGCTTTTCGGGGGTTCAAAGTTTCGGGGTTTAGGGGTTTTAGGGTATTTGTCTCGTTTTCGTTTCGAGCGGTGCTTGCTGTTATTGCTGTTGTGTCGTCGTCGTCGTTGACACTATGATCAGTGTCGTCACGCAATCCGTCCCAACCCATCTTGTCAGCCCGGATTGGCCGGTCTTTCAGATTCATGGTTCTCAGAATGACAGTATATTACAGTATTTTATCGTATATTACAGTATTTTATAGTATATTACAGTATACAAGTGTTCGCATAAGCTCCCAGGTTTTTCACAATCGGTGCGATCTTTTGCGCTCGCTTCTGCGCCCTCGGCGAGGCCTTCAGGGCTTTGACCTCTGAAGAAAATCGGGTTTAGGGTTTAGGGTTTAGGGTTGCGGAACACCGGGGATTCCCTAAACCCTAAACCCTAAACCCTAAACCCTGGACGTTTGAATTCAGCTTCAAATAAGGCTTCAGGGATATGCAGGGCTGGAGCTGTCGGTGTGAAGCTTCGGGTGCAATTTAGCGGGCCCAAATAATTACCAATTCTATTCTGGGGGTTCCTTATTAGAACTATATTATGATGCGACCCAGGACGCTATTTCTGATTATTTAGGCCCCTCTAGTATGTTTTGTAGCTGGAGGTTACAAGGTTCGGGGATGTTTCGGAGTTAAGTGGTTGGGGCTTGCAGGCTCAGTGCCTTTAGGGCCTGTAGGGTTAATGTTAAGGGCCTTAGTAATTAGAATAGGGCTTTGGGGCCATTATGCTATCATTACAATAAGGAGCCCCCAATCAGTATAGGTAATTATTTCAAGGCCCCTGCATTACGGCTCCATCATCCGCAGGTTTAGGCTTACGTGGTTCAACGGTTCGGAGTGTAAAGGTTGAGGGTTCAGCAGTCTTGGCCGGTATAAAAGTGGATTCCCAATAAGGGACCCTATGCTACTAAAGGATACTTCATAGGAGCCCCCTGAAGAGTAGCTTCTAGGCCGAAGTCACCGGATTCGTGCTGCGAGTTTTTGATTGGGATCAGTTTCGGGAGCTCGGGGTCACTTTGGACAGCGCAAGACTAGGTAGGGGGTTGAAGGGTAATTTGCAAAATTGGAATTACCCTAAACCATAAGAGTGTCACTGCTGCCGCTGTTTGCTACTGCTGCGGCTGCTACTGCGCTTACTTTCCCTACTACAACCCTTACCACCCACTACGACGACGACAACAACAACAAATACCACTGCTGCTGCTGCTGCTGCTACTGCTCCTCCTCCTCCTCCTACTACTACTACTGCTGCTGCTACTGCTGCTACTACTACTACTACTACTACTACTACAACTACTACAAGTACTACTACTACAACTACTACTCCTGCTGCTGCTTCTGCTGCCACCTACCCCTGCCAGGTGTTGCCGGGCTCCCAGACCAGTCTCGGATTGGCGCTGTTACTTGGATCTCCGTTCATCTAAATAGTTGAGCGTCGGGTTAGGGCTCTAGGTTATGGGTCTAAGAGTTTAGGGCTGCATGTCGAACATTGCGCGGGTCTCAAGTTTTAGGGCTCTAGGGTTTTAGGGCTCCTTTGATTGGCAAACAGGGTCTGTGTGACGAGCGTTGTGCTTGGAGTGCGGGAGCAGTTGCACAGATGTAGTTGGTCCGCTGCACCTTGAACTTAATCGGTGCCTGTGGCAGAGGATTCAGCATTTGGTATCAGAAAGGATGACAGCTGCGAAGCCAGGCCTCAGCCCTAAACCCTGAACTCTAGCCCAAACATGAAGCCCTAAATCCTGTGACGGCTTGAACCCGAAGAGGCCTGAGCAGAGAGGCTATTCTTCCAAGAGAAGCAAGGGTTGAAGGTTCATGGTTTAGGTTTAAGGTTGAGGAATTTGGGTTTAGCGTTCAGGCTTCAGGGCTTAGTTTAGGGATTGATCTTTGCCATCGCAGGCCAGACCGTGGCCAGTAAACCATCAAACCGTCGTCACCATCGTCATAACCACATAATCGTCGTCACCATCATCATCATCAT